GGATCCGTCCCTGCCCCCCCCCCCCCCCCCTCTTTTTTTGAATTTCTGATGTAAACACTAAAACAAAGAGATAGAATGATTGCAAATTACGAAATGACCAGTAATTTGAGTAATCATGTTGAAAATACAATGTTTTGGAATTTTTGTGTATTTTTTTTATTTTTTATTATTATTTTGAAAATATATTGAAAAATATAGTCAAGATCGGGTGATGATAATTTCCCCATCTTTAAAATACTTAAAAGGAAAAAATTATTTTTCTTTGAATTTGAGAAGTAAGCTTATGAAAAAAAAGTATGATTTTTTTAATGGATAAAATTAAAGTCTAATTTTTAGATGAGCAGCCTAAACATGAAAAACGGTTTTAATGCATATGCAAGGATCAACTGGGGATCCTTCAAAAAATGATTATAGGGTTTAGTTCGAATCACCTTAGCAATGAGACTAAAAGTCATTCAAAAATACAATCTACATCGTCTTTCATGTATGACTATCATCCTAACCCAAGTCTTATGTTGGATGTTGGCCACTCAAACATCTTCAGGTGCCTTCTGCAACTTTTATAGTATTCTTGGACTTTAGCTTTCTGCCAATAACCCCACCTTTCTTTCTTGACAAATGTGACACTTTTTATAGAAAGTGGGGTGCATGTTGGTCCCTTGGTTGATGCAAGCTTCTGAAAAGAAGTCTGCATGGTGGTCTCATGGCTAGCCAAGATTTCTCAAGGACGTCATTTCACAGATGACAAAAGATTCTCGAAGAAGTTAGCAACACATGGTGGAGATTTGAACTGTAAGTTGATCACCTGGATAATTACAGCTTTTCAAGGAAGTTAGTGACATACAGTTGAGATCTGAGTTTCTGCTGACTTGGGGCCTAAAGGCAATTGATTTATCTTTATGATGGTGGAAGTGAGCCTTCTATATAAACTCTTCAGTGTTTAACATACTAAATCACCAAAATCACTATTTTTTTTTTTTCAAAGTTCTTGACCTCGAAGCTTTAACCATGTCTTTCTTTTCTTCTTGCAATGGTAACCCAATCTGTGTTCCGGTGGAAGAGCCAGTGATCTGGTGCCCTGTGTTTGAAGTCAATGGCTATCCAGTCACGATAAAGGACTCTATGATGGGAAATGATGAAATCGAAGTGACCGCAACAAGATACAAGGTCTTTCCTTGTGATGAAATGACTTCAGCGGTCAGGACTGATGTTGAGGCGATGAATCAGTCCCTTTCTCTCAGTGTTAGACCAACTTCTTCTTCCCTGGCCAACGTAGCAGAACGTCTCGATGCTTGGAGACTTGAAATGAGCTCTCAAGTTTTTGACCTCCGTCGATTAGATAAAGAGTTTAAGGAACAAGCTTCGTGATTATTTTTGGAGGGAATATGCCATATTCGACACATCGAGCTGGAGGATAGTGTGGAATAGATGCACCAACTACTTGATGATTCATAAGGCGCAATTGATCGCCAAGATGGCAACACTTCCCCCACTCGTGCCCACACTATTTAGCCATTGTTCTTGAAGCCCTTTTATTCATGAGTAAAAATGCACCTTTCTTTGTATTTCTCTTCATTTATGCAATTGCCATGTTTGATGCGAAGAACTTTGATTCATTAGAGCCTCTTTGGATTCCATTGAGGAAATGTTTTCCTTAAAAACATTGCACAATGTTGTCGGGTTAAATAACATGCATGAATAAGTGACTTGGTTTTGAACCCTCTTTGAGATTTCTATATTGAGACTTACAATATTTTATTAACAAATTTATGCTTAGAACATCAACGCTAGATTATACAGCAAACCAAAGAATGAGAGTTATTTGCAAATTAGTTGGCCAAGAAAAAAAATGATAATTGAGGAAGAAAAGAAAAAGAAAACAAATATTTTGAATAACATTTTGCCAAAATTTCCATGTCTTTATTTCTCAAGATAATGAAAATAATTTCAAGCACATTTTTTTTTCTTTTATAGCATATGAGTTCACATGCTTTTACAAGTCTTTTCCATCTATATTTGATAAAACAAATGCTCCTAAAAATATTTTCTTGACAATGTAGGACAATGTAGGGTAGGTACATAATTAGATACCCATTTGCTTTCGTTCGATCTTTCAATACAAGTGATAAAATCTTTTTTGACAACAAATCTTTTATCTAAAATTCTCATGCCTAAACATTTTTTTTTTTGTCATAAGCTTTGGTTATCCTTTTTGGTACAATTGTCCATAACATATTGCAGTCAACTTTTTCTTACTTATCAAATTTAATTGTTTATAATGAATTTTGACCCTTTCTAATTATTCCATCTATACTTCCTTTAGTACCCATAAGAGAAGGAATTTTAATATTTTGTGGTATTTCCGCTTCCATTCCATAAAAAAAGGAACACTGGGTTACACCTTTTGATTTTTGAATAATTGTTATGCACCATGCAATGCATATGAGAACATTTTACATAGATCTTTAAAGGTAATTATTATTTTCTAAATAATCTTTTTTATTTTCTTGTTTGCTCCTTTTAGTGCTTCATTCATCTTAGATGATAAGAAAAAGAATTAAGATGTTTAATTTTTCATCATTGACATAGATCTTGAATCATCTTGACATTAAAATTCTAAGCATTGTCAATTAAAATGACTTCTGAAAAACCATATCAACAAATAATATTTTTCTCAATGAATCTCTTAACCACTTTTTGTGTAGCATAAGAAGTCACTTCAACCTATTTTGTAAAATAATCAATTGCTACGAAGATAAACCAATATTCATTACTTGCGTTTAATTTTATTTTTCCAATCACATTTATCTCCCACATTATAAATGGTCAGCATGTAATCATACTATGAAAGAATACTAGTGGTGCATGGATCTTATCTATAAAGACTTGGCATTTATGACACTTTCGAACACATTAAATACAATCTCTTTCCATATACGACCAAAATTATCCATTTCTCTGCATTTTCCTTGACATTATATACCAATTAACATGTGCAACATAAACTCCTTCATGTACTTCCTTCATTATCTTTTATGCTTATTTCTCATCTAGACCCTCAATGAAGTTTTGTCAAATCCTCTTTTATACAAAACTTCCCTATCCAAGAAGTAATCCATTGATATCATTCTCAAAGTCTATTTATTTATTTTATTAGCTCCTTCTATGTATTATTAGCTTCTAATAAAATGTTGAATATTATGATACCAAGGTTTCAAATCTATTTCCACCTCGTTTATATAACAATAAAATATACATATAAATTCTTCACTTTAATGTACATTGGTTAAGTATTCACCTCATCTTTAATTTGTATCATTGAAGCTAATGTAGTTAAAGCATCTGAAAACTGATTCTTGTCTATACTCAAATGAGTAAATTCAATTTCTTCAAACTAAGATGTTGGCTTAGTAAGATATTCTTGGTAAGGCTTTGGCTTTTTGTCTTTTATCTTCTACTTTTCTTTCACCTAGTAGATTATTTATTAACAAGGAATCTCCATACACCTCTAGCCTTTTGACTTTCCTCTCTAAAGCATCTTCTAACCCGCAAGTACATGCTTTATATTCTGCTATATTGTTGATATATTCAAATTATAATTTGATAGTTATTGGATATTGTGTAGCTTTAGATGAAATAAGTATTACCTTTATGTTGTTGTTGAAAATATTGAATATTTAGAACTCAAACAATATAGGCTTATAATCATCAACTACATTATCTTCCAAATGATATGCTTTAATACTCCGTTTTAGTGACTTTCTGGTTATATATACAATGTCATATTTTGCCTATATGATTTACCACCATGCAATTCTATTGGAAAAATAAGGCTTTTTAAAGATTTATCTGATTGGGTCCATTTTGGATATTAGACAAGTGATATATTAAAGCATGTATGCACTTTTAAGTACTAATCACATACTAAGCTATAATAATTATCTAGGCCACAAAGTACTCCATACTAAGCTATAAGATATCTTTTTTTGAGAATGAATAACAAGCTTTACAATTAGTGAATTTCTTGCTCAAATAATATATGGCTTGCTCCTTCCTTCTAATATCATTATAATGCCCTAAAACACACCCTATAACAACCTCATTCATAGTGAAATACAAAATCAATGGCTTTCAAGATATAGATGGTACCAAGAGAGGTGGATTATGCAAATAAGTTTTTTGATAACCATCATCCTATATTCCTAGATTCTTTTTACAAATCAGTTGGAAAACTAGCTTACAAGTTATAGTCAACTAAGAAATGAATCAAGCTACGTAATTCAAGCACCTAAAAAATCTTTACATTCATCTTTTGTCTTTGGTTTTTATTATTAGCTACTTTTAACCCCATAAAAAATAAAGAAAAAATCCAAAAAAATGAAAAAAAAAAGGGAAAGGAAAAGAAGGAAAAGAGAAGAAAAGGTAATAGCCTATAGTTAACAAGTTTGGAGAAGGTATACCCTTATAACAACTCAAGGGCAGATAAATGAGGTCTGCCCATTCATGCTTTCTTAATGTTTAAACTTTTTTGAAGTTTTTTGAACTTGTTTGTGTTATGATATTTTATAGTTTTGTTTTAATTAATATGTGAAAATGTTGTTTTTATTATTTAAATCATGTTTGGATTTTTTATTGATGTTACTGAGTATCAAGATAATATATTGTGTTTGATGTCTTTTTTAGTTTGTTAATGTATGTTCTAGGTTACTGGGCATGGCTTGGGTTCTAAGTGTTCAAAAAGTTAGTTGAGAATTGAAATTTGATGGTTTTGTTGGTTGTCATTGAGGCTGCAGCTATAAAGTTGAAACCTTATGTATATTATTGATGATTAGTTATTATTTGTTAGTTCTGTAGATTCAATTATGCTTGGTATGTGTAATGTGATTTATAAGAACTAAAAGCAGTGTGTTTAGAGGCCTAGAATACTAAATCTAGGTTTTAACATTAGTTCTTTAATTTCTAGAATTTTTTTAGATTTTGGGTTTATGTTTTTCGCATGAACTTTGCCTTGGCTTCTTGTTTTATAACTATTTTGAGTTAATTCTTGACACATACATGTTAACTTGTCATCTTTAGCACTTAATCTAGGGTTAAAATGCATTAATAACATGTCCTTATGCATTTAAATTTTAGGGTTTTAAGTATTAATCGAAGAAAATGGATGCTTGATTCTTGATCTACGTATAATTATGAACAAAATCTTGTCCTTAATTACATGAAAACTTGTTTGATTTGTGATTTGTATTTGCCGAGTTTTGATTTTAAAGTTTGTCATGTTCGTTTTTGTGTTTGATCTGTTTTTGTTAGAAAATTTTATGTTTTTGTATTTTTTTTAGTTTTGATTTGTTTTGGGTTTAATTATTTGTTTTGTTTTAGTTTTGTGTCAAACCATGGTTTTCAATTCAATTTAGGGTTATACCAGTGTTTTTAAGTCAACCTTATTGGTTTTGTTTTGGATAAAATGCTAATGCTTTGCTTGTTAGTTACTTATTTTATTGAGAAATTTTTTGCCTAAAGGGTTATTTGGAAAATATGCAGTAAGGTACTAATGCTTAGTTTGGTTAATTACTTTTTTTGTTGAGAAAGTTTTGGCTTAAAAGGTTGTTTGACAAATATACTATTAGATCTTTTTTGACAATTTTGTTTTGAGTAAAAACAAGTTTTTGCCAAACATGCCCCAAATAAATTCCTAAAAATTCTAAAAAAATTCAAGGCCCAATTTAAAATTATTTATAGATCTATCGCACATTTTCCCACTAACTTTATTTAATATCAAGGATATAGACTTACATTATAAGATACTGACTTGATATTAAAATACTTATTTTCATTGAAATCTCAAATTTTTCCAAACATTTCTGCAAAAAAAAATAATAATCTCAATTTCAAAAAATACAAATGTATTTTATTTAATGTGCATTCAAGTCTATGTTATTTTTTTTAAAATCATTTATGGCTCTTAAATATTATTTTTTATGTGAAAAAAATAATCCAACTTAGCAGAGAAGTAAGTGCATCGATTGTACTTAAAACTAATACTTGAAGAAGATCTTAATCTATGTTTAAACTAGGCAGTGACTTGAAAATAAATGATTTATTACAGTCTGCTCTAAGATTTTGAATCTCCATAAATATTATGAACTTGACTTCTAGAAAGAAAAAAAGAAAGAAAGTGTCCGAACGTCTTTTGCAAATCCATTATCAGTAAACCACAGCTTTGACCTGATGATTTTTATCTAGCTAGCTGTACGTACAATTTCACCATTAATTTGCTTCGTTTCTTAAATTAGAGCCATATTCAACTTGGCTACAATAAGATTAAGAACTATGGTTTAGATGAGAAAAATTTAAAATAAGATCGAGAGAGAGGGTGGGTTGGTGCTGTTCAGTGCTGAATGATATGGAAGCGGTGACAGGAGGTCACATGGATGGGTACAGAAGAGGATGCCAATTTAGATACTTTCTCTTGTCAGATGACAATATACAGACATCCCCATCAGAAATCAAAGCTAGCTATTAGATTATTTATTTAGTCCCTTTTTTATAGCAAAATAATTAGTTAGTCCCTTTAGTTTAAAAATCCCAATATAGATCATATCTCTATATTCTTACTTCTATATATAATTAACCTAGTTTCTCTGTTAAATATTTGTTAATAAGGTGCTCGGTAGTCACCCATTTTATTTTATTTTTAATATCCTTTTGACTACATGTTAATTGAAAGGAATGTATGAGTTCTTTGGTTTTTTCAAGAAAGAACCAGCGTTGATTCTGAAGAATGAATGGTTATAGACAGTCAATTATTATTTTACTTGATGAAAGCAAAACACCAGCAGCAATTAAAAAGTGAAAAAAAAAAAAAAACAGAGATGCAAGCAGAGAATCCAATTTTATTTCATGACCCATGCTTACATGCCAGAGCTGGAAACCACTCACTAGCACATGCCACATGTACCTTAACTAAAATATGTTATTTTTTTTTCTACTATGATCCATTAACAAATTGAAAATATATGAAAAATTTAAGGGAAAAAAAAAGTATTGGAAGGAAAATATATAATTCAGAACTATCAAATTCCCCATACTGATTTTAAGACCAAACTGATATTGAAGCACATTTGTTCCACATCTATATACCAATCTACAAGCAAAAGATGATCAACTTAAATTGGTGGGAAAAAATTCCTACTTTTGTTCTTGGTCTCAATTAGCCATAACCAAAGCCATAAGATAGGTGTAAGCTAATTATTGGAGAACTGAGCTTGGTTCAATGAAAATGTAGCATGCTGTTGCTCAGGCCATGGCCAAAATCCTTGCTGCTCCTCCATGCCATTGAACATGCTGCAGAAGTTTTCATCTTGATGAATCAACTGATCAACCTTCAAACATTGAAGGTCTGATCTTGATGAACCTTGGAGAAGTTGAGTGATGGTTGCAGGCCTGATGGGTGCGGAGAAGAGATGTTTAGTGGTTAGTTGGGATGATACAGGACTTGATGCTACTGGATTTCTTGAGATATCTAAGTTGACATCACAACTGTTTTCACTTCCATTGCTCCAAGAAGCCTCAGTTTCTTTCTTGAGGTTAACTTCATTTGGTTCTCTACTTTTTAGAGACAGTAGCTGCAGCATGGAAACAATCAAGACTTGAGAAGATGCACCAGAAAATACTAATTTGATTCAATTTACATAAACCATCAGCTGGAAAGCTCGTAGTATAATTGAAATTAGCTTTAACTTTTGCCAAGTGCTTCATATATCTACTACTGGCACCTAAAAAGCTATTCATCATGACCTAATCTAGTGCAAAAGTAAGGAAATGCTATGACTTTTCGGAAAGTCATTATTAATTTTTTATAAGAAAAAAAAATAGAATAATGGAATTGCCGAGGTAAAATGATCAATCAATTCCTAGAAATGTAAACTTATATCTCTCAGAACATGAACATAAATGCGTTATCAGTGGCTAGTACTGTGCCACTCTCAAACTCCAATCAACTAGAGAATGGATCGATGTACAAAAACTCCATGAAAAGAGAGCAGTTAAGAAAGATTGCTTTTGTAGTTTAAACTTCTGTGCAATATCACGAAAATCTTAGCTGGGGAAAAAAATAATAAAAATCCTGATCAAATATGTATCGTAAGAAATAATTTTCCTTAATTTCCCAATATAAACCAGATGGGTAGGAAAATTCTATGTCACCTCGCTAAGCAAGCAGAACTAACACAGATACGATGTAATTAATTTGATCAGTACTTTGTTATTGCAGTCTAGAAATGATTACCTCTGCATGAAGTTTCTTGTTCTGGGCTTGAAGGGCATCATTATCAGCCTTCAGTGCATCAAACTGTTTCTTTAAGACCTCATAGTCTTTCTCTAACTGCTTAGTCTTCCATCTAGCCCTCCTGTTTTGAAACCAAATAGCTATCTGCCTTGGCTGCAAACCCAAAGCCTTGGCCAACTGCATTTTCCTCTCAGGTTCAAGCTTGTTTCCTAACTCAAAGCTTTTCTCAAGTGCCTTAACTTGCTCCAAGTTGAGCCTCTTCTTTTTCTCCCCTATCTGTGATCCATCATCAGACAAGTCATCTTCTCCATGCCCTACTTCTTCACATTTTTCCATTCCAGAAAACGACATCGATCTCTTCATCAAGAACTGCCCTCCACTTCCTGCACCAATATCACAACACAAATTAAAAACATCAAACTCATATCATACATGGTAAACAATAGAACTCCATATTATTTTTCCATAATCAAATATGCATAAATAATTACTAATATAGATAGAGAATTTAAAGAAGAAAGAGAGAGAGAGACCGGGAAAAAGCTGAGGAGGGCAGGAGGGAAGAGAGTTGAGAGAAGAAGGAGAGGGATGGTGGTCATTGTCTTCATGGGAATGGAACATAAAACCATGATGGGGAGGGAATGCCATATGATGATGATGATGATCACTCAGCGCAAAAGATCTTTCATTCATTATACATAAATTTATAGATGCAACTTCATTCGTTACCGTGAATTTTTCGATGCAAGAATTTAAGGGGCTAATGATGTGGATTATGCGATCTGACTGATCTTCATGAGTAATTCAAGGTGTGACGGGTTATAGCTGGGAAGAGGACATGGGGATGGTGATGGGTTCAGAGACTGAAGGACAGCGATTTTTAGGTCGCGAGAGAGAGAGAGATGGAATGAGAGGCGTATATTGTGTAATATATCACAGATGCGAGAGCTTTCATGGACCCATCCTCGGATATGGGTCACTCTCTGTCTCTCGCACATACAGAAGCTTGCACATGTTTAGTATACAAATTGTATTATTATATAATCAACTAATCATTTGAACTTTTATATTCCCAAAAAACGTTGTCATTGCTTGGTTTAACCTTCGCTGCCTTGCTAGTGATCCTTCTACTATTAAAAAAGTAAATAATATCTCATACTGACATTAGAGATCAAAACTGATATTGCTACTAGTTTTTTTTTTTGTTTTTTTATCATCTAGAAACCTTCTCCAGTAAAATATATATGGTAATGTTGAGCTTTCGGGTGACTTTTAAAGCTTATCCATGTTTCTCCTTCGTAACTACTGGAGTTTATTTAACAGTTATTGTTTTTATCACTCCAAGTGAATCTAGCTAACATCTAGATTCAATGATAAAATTCAAAGAAATTAAGCAACAGCTGGCTAGGTACCTCAAAGTTTAAATTATCTACAACCCATATCGATGACACACAATTCGTGGGTTGATTTTTTTTTTAACTCCAAGATCATGCCATATAATTGCAATTCCTTTCTTATGGATAATGTAATTCCGATGTGAATGCTTTCTTTTCTACATATACAAGACCTAAAAGCTAATTAAATGGGGGTTGGTAACTGTTGTAGTATTTGCGGTTGAATTTTTAAAACATAGATTTAAAAAAAACTATAAATTATAGTTTTTTTAAAATAAAATTTCAAGAGAGAATTTTCAGTGCGATCCATATAAAATTATATTATGTATTAATTAATTAATAAAATATTTTTAAATTTGTGAGAGAGATAAAACATACATGACACCACATCGCAGTGTAAAAATAAACAAATGAAGCTTAAATCTCATACGCCAACTTAACATGGAAGCACTTAGTTATGTATTAAACGGAATTTAGTAACTTTTTTCATATAACCATTACTATTCTAGCGTGGTGTTGTTCAATTATTAATCTCATCTACCATTTTTGAAATAAGAGAGGAAAGATAAGATAAATGAGGGGAAAAACATATATCACATAGGATTTCTTTATAAAGAAGAAAGTTAATGTTGATGGTTTTAAGAAACGTTTCATGAGGTTATCCAAATACAAACCCTAACACTTAAAAAATTCACGTAGAATTGAGGTGGGACGAGTTATTATTCTTAGGTTTTCTGCAATTATTAGAAAAATCAAATGAGTGACAACGTTACCAATTAAGCCCAATTTACTCGTACGAGTTTTAAAGAAAATAGTTTGAAACAAGAAAGAATGAATGACAAGGTAAAGAAAGTAATTAAGAACATTTTTATTATTAGTTTATATTTTTTTATTCGTAGATTGTCAATGGATTAAATCGTTCTCACACAAGCCAGGCCATGTGTGACGAGGAAACTTGGCAACATGAAAGTCAAGAATCCATGGAGAGAAATAATAGACAAGTAATTTGTATGCCTTAAAGTCATTCAATAAATATTGAATATGCATATATCCATGTTGTTGGACCTAGCACTATAAGTTAATTTATTACTGCTGAGTCTGGCATAAAACCTATTAATATATATTTTATTTGTAGCACTTTGCATTTTCAAGAAATCAATTTAAAGATTTAAGCAAAGCAAGGCGAAGTAGGAAATGCATTGCCTCCGCGAATATTGTTGGCATATGGCTAGCAATAGGAAAGCTTAAAATGCATGTTTGTTGCCGTCTGAAATTTATTTTTAATGATCAAGATTCAATCTGGCTTTACAATATCTCCATTCACTTGAGACAGTTCATCCGCTTGCTATAGAAAATTATTGAAAAACATAAACAAACAAAGAAAACAAACGCCTGCGAGCACAATAAAAATGAAGGGTTTGATAACTTTAAAGAATATAACCCAACTAATTAGGTCTTAAATTTACTCATCAGATATCACCAGTCAGTCAGATGCTTGATACTGCTCTTTACCTGCAAACAACTTTTCTAATTAAAACCTAATTTAAGGGAGCATCTTCACGTTTTGGCGCCCACTCCATCGGAGACCTCTCTCGTCACCACCTCTACAAGGGCACCTGATGGGGACCTAAGAGGAAAACGTATGGGTCTTCAAGAAGTCGGGTGTCATTTAACCATCTACGGAGAAATAATTTCTTGCTTTCACTTTTCTAGTGTCAAGTGTCTCTGAGGGAATTTTAGAACCCCACCACTCTACATATTTTTTTCATATATTTGTTGCGGAGCAGATAGTGGGGGTGGGTTTTTGAGGGCGTGGGTCCTACAAACTACTGCCATTGCCTGGCCTACAACAAGCTGCTCACATGCTTTTATTGGAAGTTTAGGGGTACACACCTTTGGAATAGGGTGGATCCATGTTATTCCTTGTTGCTCACCTCAGTATTCATTAAAGAAGAAGGCTATTCTGAATCTTCTCCACATGCCCTCCTGTTCCCATGTGCCCTGTTTCTCCCCTCTCTCTCTCTGATAGGATTCTTCAACCAGAAAATGTTCTTTTATGTCATGTTGTTCTCCTTCTATTCTTCGCTTGTAGGTTTTTTAATCTTAGTGCAAAGAAATTTTCATATTCACTTATCAACCCTTCTAATCTGGGACCGACTATACGAAAGTGCTGAGAAATAAAGTTTTTTTTTTTTTTTTTTATCATGTTGGGTTGTTGGGACTAAAGTGTTCGAGGTGGCCTCCGCAAGGGATTAACATGTTTTCGATAATATATCCAGTTTACTTCATTATTTCCAGGGCAAATTATGTATTCTCCATTGAATTATAAGTGAAACATCCGTAAAAGATCTACTTCATCTTGGTAACTAATTGAATGCTTAAGCTGTTTTGTTCTTCTTTCTTGGATAGAAGAATACCTAATTGGCTTTCTTTCTTTCTTTTTCTACTACATTAACTTCAAATTATAAAATTTACATCATTATATTTATTTCATACACTTCAAGAATATTGCATATTATTGATGAAATGCTTTGATTCAGTTAAAAATAACTTTAGTAATAGAATCACAGACAAAAACATGTCATCAAAAAACATATCATTAATGATTTATATTTTATTAGTATAGTTATCAATGAATTTATAGACAAAAATAACATGCTAAACAAAAAAAAAATATCAGCATTAATTTCATCAATAAATTCATCGGTAATTATAACATATTACCAGTAGAATAAACTATTGGTATGTTTATTGATGATCATATATATATTACCAATAGAATTAAATTGTCAAAGAATTATATCTAACAATGGCATGTTTTATAAATTTATTCCAACTCTCTAGAACTTTATAAGGGATTTAGTCTATTAGTAATTCTATTTGTAATTGTTAGTAGCAAAGTCCTGTAAATTTTTTTCAACTCTTTAGAGCTCTCTAAGGGACTAATCTATCAGTCATTAAAATTTCATCAATAATTTTGTTAGTATTATATTTCATATTTTAAAAAAAATAAAAAATAAAATAAAAATCCTAATTTTTAATATTAATTTAAAAAATATTATTGATTACAATTTATCTAGTTGAGAAGTTGAAGGAGATGGCAAAGGCTAATCTTTGCTGAAACTTGAAGGGCAATGAGGTTGACCATATATACTAGTAAGGGTTGCTAATAGCTACTTGAAAACATTTATTTTATCCTTCTAGTTGGTCATCTTAAACCTCAATTCAGCCATCTTAACACTAGGCTAGGCTTTTTAAGCTTAAATTCTCATATAATCACCAAGATGGTTAGAGATTGATGTATTAATGTTGATTATGAAGAACCAATGGTTGATACACTACAGCTCATCTGCATATCCTTAGCTATAGTATTATAGATACTGTAAACCCGATTTTTATCTAGTTCACTGCTCAATCTAGCCTCTTACCACAATTCTAGATCGAGTTCTGGATGAGTGGAAATATCGTCATTATATCTCTCATTTAATCTAGTATTATATATAGCAAATGAAAAAAAAAATTATAAAAAATTGTTGAAATCCAACGTGACACTAACTTCTGAACTCGACTATCCGCGAGCTACTGCACCCCTTTTTAACAGTCCTCATTTCATATGTGAGTTTTAACAAAAAGCTTCATCAATCTTAGATTGCATCTAAGCACTTTAAACTGTAAAAGGAAGCTACTATTAGTTAAAAAATTATATAATACAACAATTTTTTTTAAAAAAAATTATCTTATAAAATAAAATTTAACCATCCGCTTTGCATACAAAATAAATAGAATAGACCCACCGATGCATGTAGTAATAAAACCCTAAATCTCCTTAGTTTCGTTCATCACACTAGACCGTGACCATCATTAGAGACGCTCAGAAGTCATGTGTTAGAAATAAACGTACTAGATACCCTTTAAGACGTGCAAAGGTCTGAAACATCTTAACACAACCTTGTTTTCCTGGCCTAGAAGACTTTTTTCTTTTGCATATTTTTTTTATTTTTTATGGGCCTCTTAGCAAAAATCACTAAACGTAATAGAAAATTTTTTTTTTGTTAAGATTATGAAAAATAAAATTTTAACATTTAAAAAAAAAGTTCACAATTTGAATTCAATATTTCATAAGGGCGTTATGATTTTCCCACACTATTCTGAAAAAACTATTGTTAGCCCCCTTATAGTAAAAGTTTTTCTTACACATCAATTTTATAAATCAACTAGTTTATTAAAATGCAAAAAGCTAACCAAATTAAATGTTAAAAAAATATTTATGTATATACTAATCTTGAACTTTCTGAATCAAGCATCAATCATAGGTTTCCATTTAGAATTTCTGGAAACCCGACTCCACTTAAACAAAGGTATTTTCATCGATGATTTTCATCACTAAGTTATCATGTGAACAACTTCCATATTAGTAAACCTAAAATTTTATTTGTTCATTGAAATTAATTATTCAAGAATTATCCATTTTTCTTTATTTTTTTTATCAAGCATAAAAGTAAAATAAACTAACATGTTGTGGTCGGGCTTCTACTAAACAATATATTTC